AAAATGGAACGCCAAAAAACTTTATATATTAATGATCTACATAACCTTTCAAGCCACCCTCCTTCTTACAAAATACCTCCTGATCAAACTATCCGGGTATTTTGCAAATTTAAGGGTAGATTTATAAAATATTCAGGTGGTTTAGTCAGCACTCTACGATATATACCAGAAGTTAGGTTTACTGCAAGTGAAAAATTTCTCACAATGGGCTCTTGCATTTCAGAAAACGAAATATGGCCAATATAAATCCTATCAAACTTAAGTGCGGTTTTCAAGATGAGCAGGATGAAAAAAATTTCATGATTGAGCTTTGCAAGAAAGATAAGGTTTCCACTCTCAAATCTTCTGTTAAAACTTTATTATCAAATCAGGGTTACCAAGCTCTCTCCCTCAACTTCGACCTCTATGTTGAAGATAAACTCATGGAATCAACCAAAGAGATCTCTAAGTATTTTGATAAGCCTCTTGTTCAGGATCAAGTTCACATTTCCATAAAACCTAAGAATAAGTAGTGTTTTATCTATATAACGATAGGCCTTAGCCATGAAATATATTCGAAATTTTTATGTAATGTAGGCCAGATTCTAGTAACGTTTTTTTTTATTTCATAAATAAAGTATTATTTTATCGAACGTATATGAGAAATAGATCACGTGAAATGATATAATCCCTGTATGACATAAAAACATATATTAACGCTTGTTTTCCCATCCCAGAAATAAATTTTTATCTCACTCTGAAACGTAACACTATTTTTTATCTGAGTCTATTTCCACTAACACTATGTCTGTCTCTGAAACTAATACACCCGCTTCCACCTCCACTACTGTTGCTAGAAATGAGACGCTCACACTAGCGGATGAAATAAAAAAATATGACACAGCCAAGCTTATAGAATTTTACAGGGGCAAGAGAACTTGGGACTTAACGAGCCAGCTATCAAAATCTTGGAAAATGAAGAGGTTAATGGCCTGGACTTCTTTGATTTGACTGAAGAAAAGCTTGAGCGACATGAAATGAAAATGGGAATAGCTACGAGACTCATGAAGTTCGCCAAGGAGTGTAAGGATAAGAAGTTAAGGGCTTTTTTGACGTATCGCAATTTAAAGGAAGTTTTGGCGGAATATGATTTCGCTTCTGAGAGCACAGAAATTATACCCCTATTCGCACCATAAATTCATGAAATCCAGGATAGTAATAAGCATTTTGAATTATGTATGGCCGATATCAAATTACGACTTCAGAGTTATGGAACGTTGGTGATGATAAGTTGGGAGTCTATGTGTAACAAGTATGTTTTAACTATACTTCATACCGCCCTTCGTATCGCAGAAGATACCACGTATAAAAAATTTAGTATGAAGCCTAAATACGAAATAATAGAAGATGAAAGTTGTGGGCGGGTCAATTATGCAATCAAGGTGAGTCTTGTTTTTTTACCCTCCTCAATAGATCTTATGCTGACCCATAAGGCCCTGTTAACATACCGCAAAATATAAACTCGTAGGAATCTGATGATCTTATTTGCATCACATAGGACAAGGTCCAGCAAAAATTAACAGAAGGCTTCGCTCAAAATATCAAATAACTCGAAAGTTCGTTTCAAATGAACAAGAGAAAACGAAAGCGTGATGAAGATTATTTTAACTATCTGTACGGGGTTGTGACATCTGCCAGGGATTGGCATTTTCTCCTCTATTCTCCAGGTGAAATATTACAGGCAAGTAAAGCCCCTTTTAGCATTGAATTTGTCAAAGAAGCTCTGGTTGAGAACTTCAAAGAATATAAAATATTGTATAAGGATGTTAAGAAGGTTTTGGATATAATCGTTAGCTTGCTGGAGGATAGGGCATATGTGAAAGATAAATCAGATAGGAAGAGGGCTAAGATAGAGGAATATTATATAAAAAAATAGGGGTGGGGTTATAGTCTGTAATCATGTAGGCAGTATATCGCGGGCTACGTTCTGATCTTGTATTTATTTTTCACATGTAATAATAAAAAATTTTTCTCAGCAAAACCATTACCATTGGTAACATGTTTTCTAAAAATCTGAAATAACCAGAATGTTTTTACCGATTTTGAATAGAGCATAAATAATATTTTATATTTCGCAGATATGCAATCTGAATAGATTCATTAAGACAACGCATTACCGAGCTTGAGCTCAGAAATGCGGAATCTATAAAGCAGATAATGGAAGAGAATAACAGACATGATGCTAGGCTTGAAGAGCTTGAGACTAGAATCTTAAAACTAGAGCAGGATTAGGCAGAAAGAGAATCTAAGAAA